CCCCCCCCCCTCTCTACAGTATACTAGACACGGAGGTGCGAGACTTGACACTTAGCCGTAGGTGTTCACACCTCGCACCTCGGAATTGCTCATCGTATGAAAAGTCACTCACCCGAAGAATCGCCAATTGTCACCCACCCTGGTCAATAAAACCTGTCAACAACTGGCGATTTGGCGCCATCAGACAGGATGCTAATTACGATGTGAGACTTTTCTAGCTGACCATTCTGTGGATGTCGTAGATTGTCCAAATCACAGGGCTGACCAATTTATAAAGATTGTACATATTAACTACCTTTGTGGGAAGACCTTTGACGTTGCCATATGTTCAGTGCAGATGCTAAGCAAACAAAAAGAGTAGTGTTTAACGGCAATCCTCATGTGAGTTTGCAGCCTGATTGAAGTCCATAGAATGTGAATATATGATTAAGTAAGCGCTTTCGTCAAAGAATACGATTTTGATCTGCTGGAAAAAAATTGCTGTAAATCTCTGCTCAAGATCTCTCTGCTCATCTTTTTCTTATATATGACACTTCTCTTGAGAAGTGTCATATATAAGAAAAAACTATTACGGCAGTTCGTGCTGGAAAATGCTCTCGTGGGGGCAAGAAGTTCAATAAACGCTGATTTGAGGAGCTTGCGTTGAAAAGTGAAGAGAATTTGATCAATGCAGCTAATAGTAAAAAAACTAGTCTCGATTCTAACAAACATTTCTGGCTTTTATCAGAAAGACTATCTCGTTTTGGCTAAAGAAAACAGTTACAAAAATAAAACTATACAAAAATTCATAACGTTTGAGAGTGGCGTTTTATTATCCCTGGCCTTTCTTAAAATTCCTCATTGAGCTGTCCCAACTAAAGATGACTGCAATGTACGCAATTATCTGCAGGTCAAGATTATTAAACGTCAAGCTGACCACCTCTAAGGTGCCATTACTCATCTAAAATTGAATAGGCCGCAAAGTAAAAAGCTGTCAAAGAAATAGTACGTACAGTTTAGTCCAGACCGTCCACTCCTGAAAGGGGGAGGGAGAGAGAGAAAGTGAGAGAGAGAGAGAAAGAGAAAGAGAGAAAGAGAAAGAGCAGGAGAGTCGATTTGCAAACCGGGGGTGGGTTGTTCTCCAAATAAAATTAGCTAGCGTAAGATAATTGCGATTTTTATCGTTTATACCGGGACAAATAAAGTGTTTAGTAGAGATAAGGATTAGGAATTTGTACTGGTAAAACATATAAACGGAAGTGCGAAATGCGAGAACCCAGTGCTTATAAAAATGCAGCAGGTTATGAAATAGGATATACGATACCCTTGATAGACTGGCCAGGATTAGCTATGAGGGAAACATGATTGCAAACAAAAGCTGCGAAGCATGTGGTATAGCTTGTGGATGTAATAGAGCAGCTTTTGTTACGACGATCTACAGTTTTTGGCCTAAATCAGCATTTGGGCTGATGAAGATAAGAAACCAAAGTCACTCATCATGATGAGGTTCTGCTTTTATAGCAATCCAGAAAATCTTTGCCAGAAAAAGCCCAATGAGCCTTTCAAGTAGCGATGAATGTTTTAGTTCAATTCAGCCCATACTATCTAACGTTTTTGTCATTTCGTCAATATTATGGTAGGTTACTACGTGATTCTGAGATTGTTCTTAAAGTTTCAATGTAATCGGCGGAGCAGAAAACCTCTAAATTCTCAATAATTGTAAGGGAGAGAAGCTTGCAGATTTTTTAACCAAAATTTGTCCCGAATTAGGAAATCGATAGACTATGCAGACGACTAAATACATATTTCAGTGAGTGTGACTACTCATTCAAAACTTAGAGACCATCTTCATCACTTCCATGTGAAACAAATTTGTGAGGTTCCTTTAAGTATGCTGAAATCGAGAACTAAATCTACTAATATTCCGTATACATACGTGCAAAATTTGAAGCACACAAGATTTTAAATGTTAATTTGGAAGACAGAATCACAGAAAAAAATAAACTATTGTCAAAATCTCGAAATGGTTCACTTTACTAGCAGAAATAAAGCTGTCGCATGGACTTCGCCCTGCTGGGGGAATTTTGTTGCTTATAGCATAAAAACCAGCGCGTTGTTTCACTGGTTAGAATTTGAAATCATTGGGCTAGAAGCAAAAAAAGTGACATTGTTTGCATTCGATTCGTGAGATGATTTAGGAATAATTTGGGAGAAAAGGTGAGTTGAACGCACCTTTTAATAAACAGGCATTCATTACATTAATCAGCCTTTGAGCCTTCATTCCATAGCAATTCTCAGGAGTCATACAGCCAAAATTTACAGCACCAACAAGAAAATATAGTGCCACCAATCGCCCTCTAAATGCCATGTTATTCTTCCCTTTCCCAATGTTTGATTGCTGTCAAACTATCTGAATCACAGTGTTAACCGGCAATTTGCGAGACCTTTGGCGTCGTCCATATGTCGCGCACAGATGCTAAACGGACGAAAAGAGTAGCATTTAACGTCAGTTTCCATGTGTAATTTTGCAGATCTGCTTGGACTGCAAAAAATCTCAATCAATGAACAATTAGATTTGTTAGATTACTGCTTGCCAGGATCCGAACGAATAATCCTCCCTGAAGGCACCCTCAACATTCTCTCAAATGAAAAGTGTTGACTTCCGTGAAACATTCGAATGTAGCTCCTTGAATCAGCTGTCGTGTCAAGCTACAGTAGAGCTACCTTATGCTGCCATATTGCTGTTCACGGTAAATTCTAACCTTTTTACCCAGTGGCGTTTCAAAACAATTAGCAGACATCAAGAGAGACAGAGGAGGAGATGCTTCGGAGGGTTCGCAAAATTCTTTCAAGCATCTTACATGAGTCACTATGCAATACATAGATATCATGCCTCATTTACGATTATATCTTGAGGTTTCAAGGTTTCATTCGAATGCAGTTGCTTTTTTACAAAGCGGTTATTTTGACATTCATTTTTTAAATAAATGGTATTTCATCAGAAGTTGTTTCGATTTCCGAACTAAAGCACTGGTCAATAGCAGTCTCAATGGTTAATCGCTTCGCTTATTACTAATTGGTGCTCCACTTATAGTGCAGCATTCATGCTTGTTTTCTCACGGCCGATTGGTCCCTCTACCGCAAGCAAATAAATTTGTGGCTTTATAAAGATCCGCTAAAAAATCTAGCATTCATTGGATAAGAAGCAGCATTCGTTTATTAGCTTAGGTTTTATTAGCTACAGGCGCCCAAGGCGCGGGCTTTCTAGACAGCTTGAGTCTCTAAAAAGTAGCTACATTGCTTAAAACCTTTGAGAACTGCAAAATCAGAGGGCTGGGAAGGCTTTTCGTTTGGGGGAGGAGAGAAAGCCACAAATATTTTTTTTCCGGATAAAGCTGCGCTGTGTTAGCCATGCATTCTGAAATTGCTTGGGCTGCTCTCCAAATTTTTTGCGGACTCATAGCCAGCCCCGAAAGAGTTTTTTTACGGGGCTAACTCGCATTTCTGAAAAGTTCGGTACATTGCTGCAACTGTTTACAAGAATAAACAAGTCACTTGCACACTTTTATGAACCATGTAAGTAACTTTCAAAATTTTCGTGACGCAATTTTGAGGAAGGGGAGGAAGGCGGGCGTTCACCACTATTGGGTGGAGTAAACGATAGCTTATTAAAAATATTCCAGAAAACATAAACAAATCGACAGATGTTCTGTTTTGGTTTTGAGTACACCGTTTTGATTCTGCGTGCCATATCGACTAAATTATAAATATGGCGCGATTGATTAGGTTACACAATAATGTGCGAAAGAACCGTAACGTCAAAAATTACCGCAGTTTCACAAGCACAAAGTAATTTTCTGCATTGAACCCATATCTATCTTTTCCCACAAGTAGTCGTGAATTCCTGTAATCACACAATTGTTAATGCTTATCCCGTGAATGCTAGGTCCTTAGCGGATGATTCACAAACCACAAATAATTCATTTGTCTACGGTAAAGGACTAATCGCGCGTGGGAAAACAAGCATGAGCGCTGTGCATTGTCAATGGGACGGCATTAGTGGTAATATTCGAGATTATTAACTATTGTGAATGGTCTTATGGTCAGCAAAGCTTCCCTTTCAAAAATCGGCAAAACGTTCGCTTTTTGAAATTGCCAAACATTCGGGAAATTTTTCGGAAACTGCGTTCGAATAAAGCACCTTAGTACTATGTTCTGATCATAACTAAGGCACATTATCTCAAATTTCAATAGCGCTCCATACAAAACACTGAACTTACGATTAAATTGTTTAGAATGTATGATTTACACTTTGACATGGGACTGAATTTATCGTTAGTAAAGGATTTTTAGCTCTATACAAACACTTATTGGGCAACTCCACTTATTCAGAATTCATGAAATAACTGTATCAAATTAGTGCTTGGACACAATAATGATGGATGATGCACATAATTATTTGAAATTGTAATAAGATCTATTCATAGTGTTATTATGTTTGAGCCAAGTACATCAAATTAATTCACATTTATCCATGCATTTATTAACCCGTTTTGATTCCGACGTAGATCGAATATAGCTGCGATCAGCTGAGACCATGAGTATTTTCTACATACATATTCACATACATTTATGCACGTATCTATAAACCCGTTCTTCTGATGGGACCTTGCGACATGAACCCGAGTTCAGCTGGAATCATGGAGCTGCTATGCCAGGTTCCTCCTGCAAATGTCCAGCTCAGCATTCACATTAGTTCCGTAAAAACAATAATGTGATAAATACCATAACAGGTTGAAGGCGTACCTTTGGCATGCATTCGGAAAGGCTTTCGTTCTCAGAAACACTATCCCAGGTGACATCCCGTGTAAGTGACTGAGCCGTAGACATCGCTGTAATGGCGGCAGTGACGGCTGTGTCATTTTCGCTGCTTTTTTCGTGCTCTAAATATGTATGATATGATCACGAAACGGTACTAAATAGCCATAAAGTACCTACCTTTAAATTTTCTAAGCTGGGAGTTAGACGGATCCCAGTCCAGAATCATGTCCGGCAAGTGCGGAAGAATTTGGTGAGATATGATGGTAAATTTGTGTCTGCGGTATGGTGCACCCGGGTCGGAAGCCATATGGATTAATAACCGACGGCGATGCACCAAATGACGACGTCGAGTCCAGCGGAGATGTCGTAGTCGATTTTGATGAAGACGACAGGCAATAAGTGAGCGGAAGTGTTTGTTCCCATGGCATATCGTATCTGAAACGTAAATGCACTTTAATCGAGCTTTTTTCAAGAATGGGCATGACTTAAAGTGTGATGCCTATTAGTCACCAAACTCATATTTCACCAAAGTGCAAGCAGTATATTACGCTACTATTTGGAATGTGCACTTATATTGATGACGACTACATACCAAACTGAGGGAAGGTCCGGCTCACCTAGTTTCTTCCTCTGGAATTTTGCAGCTTGGTGGTGAATATGGCTGACAGCGCGCCTTTATGGTAATTTGCCGATGAGACCTATAGAATTAATTGTTTGGATCAGAGAAAGAAAATTTAGTAAATTTACAAACCTTTTTTGTCGAAGAAGAGCAACAAGTGCACAAGCAAAACTCATCGAAGTCAAAACACAGATCGCTGCCAGGGTCAGCACAGAAGCTTGCAAAACCTTGTCGTCATTCTTCAATCGGGAAAAAATCGAAGTCGAAAAGGCAGACGATGGATCTTCTGGGAACTGTGAAAAACAATGAAACAGTGAGAAATTCCACATAATTGGTTACGCAATAAGTGAACTCGGCAACAGAATGAAGATTCTCTACGCAGCACTAAGATTGTGTTTGCTGAATCATGGGGTCATCATTTGGATCAGAGAGCTATTGACACTCATGCATGTGCAAAGAAGCATACTGTAATTTTGGATGTGAAGAGATAAAGTTAAGGACTGAGACCTTATTTCTACTCTGGGATGTTTTAAGATGGTCGTAAACGACGATGAAAGATAGAAAAGTGATGTGAGGGGCATCATCTATTTTTGCATTCTGATTTTAAGATTTGCAGCGAGAAAATTCAGTGACTAACCTTCTGTTCGATGAGCGCCACATCCTCTGGGTCCGGACACCATGGACATCTCTCTGTATGCTTTTCCACCGCCACGGTAGCGTTGAAACACCTGGCCCGGACTTCAATCAGCCTCTTGCCCAGTTCCTCTTCTGGCATTGCAGTGGTGGTCGTGACCTTCGCCTGACGTCGTCTTCGTTCCTACAAAAAAGTTGCATTAGCCCCTGAATACACATGAACACACCAAGAAACTCATTTCACGATGTTACGCTGAAATCTCACCAAAATTTCGTCGATTCCATCCGGAAAGGCGCGGACCGACCCAGTAAGGTCACAGACTCGCGGAAAACCATAAAGAGGGTCGGTGCCAACCACCTGGCACCTGAGCTTCAGATCTTCCGGCTTACCTTTCGCCCAGTGGGATACAAATGAGCGCGAGGTGTCCTGAAGTAGTATAATAAATGGTAGATATTAGGTTGTCCCGAAAGTTCTGTCCTTACATTTTTAAAAATTTGTGACTTTGCGCTGTCTCAACTGCGCAAAGTTACAAATAAAATCAAAAGGATTTGTATCCTTTTATTTTTTTTGAAAGCGCAAGTCTTTCGCTTTCGAAAACTTTTTTCCTCGCTTCTAATACACACTGACTACAGAGGCAAAAATGAAAAAGGGAGACCATACAAACTTTAATCATTTTAAGTCAGGTCGCCAAATACCGATGCAGAAAATTCTGAAATCGTCAATACATAAATTTTTCTAACCTACCCTTTGCAACTGTGAAAAGTTTGTATTGTTTTGTCTTTTTGAAAAGTTATGATTTTCGAGAAAAGTGTCAAATTAATTAATTTTGGCGTTTTCTGTAGTAAACTGGTAAACAGACGTCCAAGCAAGATAAATTTTTCACAGTGGGAAGAGTAGGTCAAAAAACTTGAGTGTTGACGATTTCAGATTTTTCTGCAGCTTTCCAGATTTTTGACGACCTAAGTTAAAATGAGCAAAGTTTATATGGCCTTCTGTTTCCATTTTTATCTCTCCAGCCAGTGCATAGCAGAAGCCTTAAGCTCTCTAAAATAGCATTCGAAAGTGAGATACCCTTTCGAACAAAAATAAAGTGAAGTAAATCCGTTGAAATAACGCAAAGTTATGATTTTTCGAAAATGAGACGACTGAACTTTCGGGACAACCTAATGTTAGAATACACGTTTATGGATGAGTAGAGAAGAGAAACAAGGTCATGAAATTTACGGAGCAAAAAAACGGCGCTGGTGAATAATTCATGAAAGAATTAAAAATAGAAAATTAGAACATTCTCAAAAACTTGTGGTTGACATTACTGATATCATGCGTAGTAACCCAAAGAATTGATGACTATAACAAAAAGGCAGGAAAGAGCAAATGCAGTTAGAAAAAGTTATGAATTTACCTGCACAAAATGCTCGGAAATAGGCCAACTAATGGAAATCTCCTCAAATTGTGGGGGCAAATCTCCAAGTATCTGAAGAGAATTGTCTATCTTGAATGGTCTATATCTAGTTTGCAAAGCTTCAGATTTTCTCAAAGGTGTACCTCAAATCTGGGATGAGAACAACCAGCGGTGGTTAGACATCCTTCACTCCAATCCACTCTCAGCAAATCGGCGGTCATCCAGAATGGGTCAGCCATTACGGCAGGTAGAAGGAGCAGCAATGACAACATCTATAAAATATACCATTGAGATATTGTTAACTATCTGTGACTACGGTTATTGAACATAATAACGGAGAGCGTCAATGATGGAAGAGCACGGGGCGGAGCCGACAGCCGCCTTCGTTTTCCTAATTATGGATGCACGCAAAACGAGGAAAAGCTCAATGCAACGGATAATCTTTAGCAAGATCAAAGGTGAACAGAAACTATGGAGATAAAAGGATCTTATGCACAATTGAGAGGGAGCTGGGGTTAAGGCAAATCGGCATATTTCAGAACTGGCGATACAAGACAAGAAATGATTTTGGACCATTAGAGCATTTGATGTGGTTTCTATAAGTTCTTTTATCCTTCAAAGAAGAAACTCGGAGCAGAACGTTATGCAGATAAAGCTATAGGTCCAATTCTTACGAAATTTACATTACTCATGAGCTTGGATCGATATGAAAATGAAGTAAAGCTACGTTTTATGATTGTAAAGCTAGATTAATATGGAGACAACTGAATTACAAAAAGCATCTTCGCCTAGGTCACTAACCTCTGCAACTGTCAACGTTAAACGAACCGATAAGGTAGCGCACGCGTCGTCTGATAATATATTACAAGGTATTAAGCGGACCATGGTATTTATCAGGGGCACCATTGCGTTTCAACGCCAATGGTCCGCCCTATGAACCCACAGCTTGTATAACGCCAAACCCATGTTGGATGGGCTTTGAACGTGTAAGCCTTGTGCGTGTCTATGGGGTAAGCCGCAGATGGTGTCCTAATCTTCAGAAATCAAATTCAAAAGCTTAAAATCGTAAAATCTTTGGATTGATGCAGTCTGTTTCTAAGCAAATTCTCAATCAGCTGCTCTCTTTCAGTTCTCTTTCAATCAGAAAAAATTCCAGGTCTGTGGGGAATTTTCATTTTTCTGATATTTTGATTCCGTCTGCAGTGCAGTAATGCGGATAAATCCAGGAGTTCATGTAGAAAAGACGCAAAATAGGATCCTTTTTTTTAAAAACCTACAGCCAACAATAAAATGATTTTATGGTAGTGGACTGAATTCACACCAAATGCGAAGCGAAGTCGTGAACGAAATTACCACCGGTAACTAATTTCTAATTTCCCAACCAGGCGCCTTAATAAAATACCATGCGACAGAAAGAGGCCTAAGGATGCCAAAAACAAGTCTATTGATTCCAGCCTACACACTCAATTTCGCATAAAAGTTCGAGCTGCACAGCAAAACGTCGTAATATTGTTGTGAGAAACAAGAACGCTACGAGACATCAACTGACATGAAATGACTGCCCGTAATTGAAGTAGGGTCGAATTTGAGATGTTAAATTAATGTTTTTGTCAAAGCTAAATATAACGATTGTAACCCTTTTTAGCATTTTCTCAACGAAAACGTTTTGACATGATAGCTATTAATTGACCCAGTGTAGTGGCAGCCGCAGAAAATTCAGCTGTATTAAAGTGTTTGAGAAGTGCTGCAAGAGTAAAGAGATATAAGAGCAAGCTAATGAAATGAGTTTAACGTCCAAGTACCCTAATTTCCGGGGTATAAGGCGCACCCGCCGCAGCGGACAATAGCGCGAAAACGCTTTTTAAGTGATTGCTCTCTAAATCTAAAAAGCTGAAAACTTAGCGTGCTGTGGTTATTCTTCATTGCCCATAAATCATGCCTCCAGGTATTTCTTCTCAGATGTATACTTTGATATCGTTTCTACAGGTGGGAGGAAGCTCTTAATAGTGTTTATGGTGTTAAGAAAGTTACCGGTGCTATATTTGTGCTTTACTTCGTTTGCAGTAATGCTACTGGTACTGAAACTGTGCTATCCTTTACAATGATACTACTGATATTTTAAAGGTTTTTGTCCTATTTTTGTCAATCTTGAAGAATCAAAAAGAAGGTAGAGATTTGTGTGGAACAAGTTACTATTGAGAGAAAAACAGCAAGGAACGGGAGCAAAAAGCTACTGCTGGGTGAAAAAGGTGCTGTTGGTTGCTTGTGCGGCGCCGCGCATCGCGGACGTCATCGTACAACAATCCGCGCGCGGTAAAAGCTACTGCGCCTTATACCCTGGAAATTAGGGTAATTCGTTCTTTAGTTGCGCAAGTGACGATGTTGGCAAATACGTTTTACCACCTCCCCGGCGAACCTGTGCGAGATAAAGATCTTGCGTTAACTAGCTTCAAGGTGTTTCTCGTAATGCAGGTCTCAGAGTTTGACTGCAGTTTGATCTCTCGAAGATAATAGAAAATGCATAGAACGCATCAAGGAAGTGTAGAAACTGTTTTAAAGGGTTAAACCTCGACAAACTTGAAATAAGTAGGAAAAGGTTTGAAATTTGATGAATCCGACTTTGAAGGCTTGAATTGCCTAAAACAGCTTTCTGTGATTGATAAGAGAACACTCAGCAACGTCGCAGACTGACGTAAGCCATAGTTAATAAGAAAAAGTGGAAGTAGTCAAAAACGCTTTGATATATACATTTCGGGAAAAAACTATAGCCAGCGTCCGAATGATCAGCTATCAACTTCTAAGCGTATTAGCTTATCAGAATGCTTAGCATGCTTCCAGATCTGCTAAAAACAGTATAGACTTCAAACACTAGGGGTCATTATAGAGAAATTGGGGAGATACGGTGACAGGGTAAGCAAATAGAGAAAATGATCTATCATGATACTAGAAATGTTAGATGGCAGTAAGAAACTGAGGATGAAAAAAAAGTATATGAGAAAGTAGATTTCGCGCATATGACTAAACAGTAGCAGAGAACATGCTAAAGGAACCAGTCAGAGCAGTAAATAAGTTCTGTATGAAAAATTCAAAAGGTAGAGAGGACAAGAAGCACGAAAAATTTGTGATATCTGCATGCATTGTCCGACCAACAGGAAAATATCGTATCCGCTCGTAAACGCTCCTCGAGAAAAGCGATGATATTGTAACGAGCGTGAAGTATGGCCACTCGGCAATGAGTGGATGACAAATAAACGTTGTTGGTTGGCTAAGCACATCTTCAAGCACTGGCGTGCACTTTTAGTTATGCTTTGATTACCTGGCTCTTTTTGTGCACTTCCCACGTCCAACTGTCAATAAAAATTTGCTCTGCTAAAAAAATTGAATACAGGTGGTCAAAATAGAAAACGAACTCTGATAAATATAGACAGAGAGCCAAGAAAAATAGCGCTGGAGCCCACACTACCTACATAAAATGGTTCAAAAATTTGGCAAATGTTCACATGAGTTATAAATTCTGCAAGTGACTTGTTTTCATGATTGAAGTAGCTTTATTTATTTCTCAAACCAAGTGATAGGAAACCTTTCACGAACCCCAACCGATCTCTCCCTTGTTCACAGATATGAGCTACAAGCTCGCAATTCTGAAACTTTCCCGAAAGATTTCTGAGAACAAGGTTCGGCTGCCTTTTTGAGTACAAATTTCTGGCCCTCTCTTCTCCAGACTTCTGTGACTGCGGGGAAAAATCGTAGTAGTTGGGCAGGAGGAAGGGGGATGGAGAGAGGAAGATTTCAACAAACTACTGTTGGAAGCTACACGATGATATCAAAAGCGAGTTCTTGGAAGAATGCAGCCGGTTGGTGTGAGGCAAACAGCCACAAGCGCTGTTGTCGTAAAAAAAGTGGTTTTCGAACAGAACAGAGCGATTTTTACGCTGTTCTACATAGCTTTGGCATTGTGGAATAAAGAGGTTGATTGCCTGATGTAACTGGGCGGAGTTGTTTAAAAGAAAATGTCAACAGATAATAAATCAAGGAAAAGCTCTAAATGGTGTCTACCGTATGAAGCTCTTCCTTGATCCGATAAGCTGCAAAGAGAAGAATAATAGTACTGGGGAGTGGACCTAGTTTCGAGTTCCACCAAATTGCCATGAGCAGCACTTCAAAAGGGCTTGGCTATCATCAGTCAAAATGTGGCGAAAGCGGAACGGCTGACAAATCGCTTTAGGCTGCTAGGCGATGATTGCTTTGAAAAGTCCCTAGAGAAGCACAGCAGAGAAGTATGAAGCTGCTAAAGCTTATAAAAGATATCCCATGCTGAGAAGAATAATATGCTGAGCACAAGTGGAAGGACAAGCATGTTCTTCTTCAAGTACATTACACAGATGTTTCTTGTATAGATTTTGCAGCTATTAATCATGCAGAACAACGACTGCAGCTAAATGGGCGAAGCAAGTGGCATAACTTTGCAAAAGTTGATAGAGAAGAAAAAACAGTGAAGGGATTACTGTGCCCTAAAATATTGCACGACGTCTTCGCCTTTTCAATGTCGGAAGATCGGATCAGGTTGAAAAAAAAGGAAAGACAGGAAAATACCATGAATGCTTATGTGGAAAATAAATCGAAGTAGATGTTCATCGACACTTGCCAGGTTGCTCTGCACTGGCATTGCCATGTCGTTGCCGACGTTTTTTCCTGATAAATGGCACTGTCCGGACAAAATTAGCGTTTAACGAGATCAGCAACGAATATCCGATTTTCAGAAAAAATGATGGACGTGAGAAACAAAAGGAAAGAGACTAACAAACTGAGAAAATCCATTTAGCGCGTAGAACTGCAAATTAATCTGAGATTCTGTAAGATATGCAATCATTTTTTGAATGGCATTGATTTCGATATTGCTCTTCTATTCAAACCTCGGCGAGAAGCTATGCAAATCAGGAAGATTTCAGAGATATCAGGATCTGAACGGTTTGTGTACGAACGGTGAGGTCATTGAATGGAAAAGCGGTGGCAGTTAACCTCGATTTACTAAAGACTCAACACTATGAATGGAGTGCGCGCATGGAAATTATGAGATTCGACCTTTGACTGTAGCACCATTTAGTGGACAATTTCAGCGAGGATATTTTGACTGCAAAGTGCAGAGAAAAGTTATGGAGACTGGGTGAACTGCAGTCAAACGAGTCTCAAATCAAAAACAACGCATGCCACCCGGCTCAGAGGCAGGTGCAAATGTTTGAAGGGCACTTGAGTAATGAACGTCTATAGAGAA